CGCGAGGTTTTTGCGATAAACGTATTTCTGTAGTAATGTTTGTTTAATGGGTGGCGCAGTTTGTTGTGAAAATACGCCACTTCCACATTTCCAATAAGGCACCTTATTTGCCGCTCTTGCGGTCTCCTTCCCCGATTATGGCTCCCGTTTTCTTCTCTATACCTGGAACGCAGAAGCACTTTCAACTAGTACTTAAGAGCCTCGAGGGTTAAAAAAGAAAAACAATAACAACATAATATTTTACTTGAACAACCGCTTTTTATTGGGGGTTTCCAAAAAGCCACAAAGGAAATTAATAACGTTAATGGGTGTGAATTTGCGTGGTTTGTTTGCTTAGGATGAGATGTCGAGATACCTTAGCAGCATGGAAACGAGTAACACGGCTATGAAGTTGAGAAAGGCAGCTGTAAAAGCTAGACACCAAAACGAATTAAATGATCTTAGAAACCGGATGCAGAAGGAAATCGACCAATCAATTAACGAACTGAAGATGGCGTCTGACGTTCGAAGAATGCAAGCAATAGAGTCCCAGGTACGCTTATATCCTTTTAATTGGCCGTTTAATAGGAATTTTTTTTTATTTTCCACACTATTTTATTACCTTTCAGTACTTATGAATTGCTTCCAGACGGTTAACAATAATAATAATAATAATAATGAGTCTTTATTTCACCGAAAGATAAAACTACATATCTTATGTTACAATAAGAGAAGATAAAAACTATGATAAAAATATCTACGTTATATGTTTATATTAAAAAAGTGTATCATTACAATAAATGGAGCTTAAAAATCAACCTATTTACAAAGGTGTTCATAAAACGCTCTGTATTAATTTTTGGACGTACGCAGCCTTTTTTCCTAAGATTATGTACATACGTCTTCTGGACAGGAATGATATCTTTTAGTGGGTGGCAATCCGTTGATATTAATTTCTTTAAAATGTTTTGGTCTTGTTTATTTAAAAGATTCTTGATAAAAACTGGAAATGAAATAAAACG